CCAAAGATAAATTGTAGTCGTATGCGGGCCTTGCGACGTTGCACTTGAAGTATTAGGTTCCACAGGAGTCGTAGTAATGGGTCTTTTACGGTCAGTGGGCCTGTTTCCAGTGCCGTGAGAAGGGCGAGTGAGTCCGTGAAAATGGAGACCCTGCATGGCGTTGGGTTATTTGCGGGAATTATTTTGAGGAGTCTCCGTAAACCTTCGTACGGCGCTACGGATTCAGTTGTGTAGCTGCAAGCTAGGGGGCCAGCGCCTCTATGTGTGGTACAGGGCAGTTCACCATCTTTGTATATCACTGCTGCTGCTCCAGATTTTACTCCGAGAAATACGGAGCCATCAGTCCAAATTTCATAATGGGTACGCGGCGGCGGTTCTGTGCCTTTTCGGCGGAAGTGTCGAGCTATCCAATGCTCGGTTGCTTCTCTTTTCCGTTCTTCAGGGTCATCAGCTGAGACATTTTCCAGCGATGTGAAGAAGCGAGCGCGTTTACCGAACCGTAGAGTTGGTGTCAGTAGAGGTGGGCCCGCGTGGCTCTATAACAAGTGTTGGATAGATTTTCATGATGCGTGCATAAAATTCTCGTACTGGATGGGTTTCGTGATGGACCTGTTCTGCGCTTTCTTTGAGGGATCCACCTCGTGTTTGGCATCGCATTAAATATTTGAGGCTCCGAATCATGGCCGTAATCTCTAATGGGAGAAGACGGGCTTCACGTAATGCGTCGGCGGAGCGACATCCATAGGGGATACCTGCTATGGTTCGGCAAGCTTTGTTTTGACCTGCATCGAGGAGTTTGCGTGATGTGGGAGCCGCATCCCAATACCAGATCTCAAAGCCGTAGAGCGTCTGGGCTTGAACTAGTGTCAGATAGAAGGCCCGTAGGATATCACGTTTCGATCCCCATGTGATGGAGGAGATTGCTGCAAGTTGTAGTAATCGAAAATTCATGCGTTGTCTCGTTTGAACCACATGGGTAGACATGCCTCGGTAGTTTTGGAAGGTGATGCCTAAGAGTTTAGGTGCCTTCCCCGGACCTACGGGGATACCGCGTAGTTTAAGAGAAAGGGGATGCGGGTTGGTGGTACCAAAAAGTGTGTATTTCGTTTTGCCCACATTAATGTCCATAAAATAGTTTTTGGACCATTCATCCACCACGTTTAGTCCTTGTTGCAGTGTAGTGTTTATGATGTCTCGGTTGATTTGTCGTACTGCTAGCGTGGGATCATCGGCGAAAAATCCATGAAAAAATAAGTAAACCTACGATAATCGTTTGACTAGGGTGTTCATGACGATAATGAACATAAGTGGGCCGAGAACTGTTCCTTGTGGTACGCCACGGTGGAAAAGCATTGGGGGAGAGAGGATTTACTGTTGACACGTACCTTGGCTTGGCGTCCTTTCAGGAAAGATGCTGACCATCGAATGGTGTGCGGTGGGATATCCATCTCTCGCATCGCAATAACTATTCGATCGTGGTCTACAGTATCGAAAGCTTTGGCGTAGTCAACGAATACTGCACCTGTACGCGAATCAAGGGTGGGTCTTGTGAGGGCTGCGCGTAGATGCAGTAGTTGATCTAACGCAGAGTGTCCAGGTCTAAATCCAGATTGTTGTGGGGTCAGCTTGGTTCCAATGACATCTCTAATACGTGCTGCGATGATCCGTTCCATTAATTTGGACAGACAACTAGTGAGAGTAACTGGTCTGAACGAATCTAGATCTGTGGCTTTCTTCCCTGATTTAAGGAGTGGTACAATGATGCCTACTTTCCATGAGACTGGAACAACGCCCGTACGGAGGCTCTCGTTAAAGAGGGCAAGAGTCTCTGCTTTGGCACGAGGTCCCAAGTGTTGGAGTGCCACACTGTAGATACCATCTGGACCTGCGGCCCTCCCTTTAGGAAGGAGACGCTGTGCCCGTTCCAGTTCTGCTGCTGTAATGGGGATGAATTCTGTATCTGTTACTGGAATGGGCGGTGGAGGGTAGGAATGTGGGTGACGTTGAGCTCGTCTTGAATATAAGCGGATAAAGTGCTTGGCTTTCTGATTTCCCGTGAGTACCGTGTTGTTAAGCTTAATCGCCGGGGTACTGAGGGGGCGCGGGGCACAGATCCTCTTTAAAATGTTCCAACAGCGGCCGTCTGCCACGGCCATGTTATTACAGAGGGTTTTCCAGCGTTTATGGGAAGCTTGTCTTAGCATTTCTCTTCTGCGAGCTACCAGTCTGTCTCGAGAGACAGAGGGTTTGCAATTGTGAATCTTCTCTTTGATTTTATCTAATTCTGGAGCCCAAAAAGGAGTAGTATCTCAACCTCCGCGTGGAACCGCCGCAGCTGTTGCGATACGGATGGCGGAGGTCAGTAGTCGTTCTCTCTTGTGAACGCTCTGTTTCTCTTTAAGACGTTTATTGCACTGTGCGTTTGACATTTGTCTAAAGCGAGAACATTTCGTTTTCTTCCATGCATAAATGGATCGGGGCACGAGGGTTAGGAACCGCAGTGGTTCGTCATCATCTCCTACTACTACGCCGAAGGGGATGATGTAATGGTCGCTGTCCGGGGAGAAGGATGCCGTCCAGGACTCTAGACGGCATTCTCGGGATATTGTCACATCTGGCGCGGACGGGCCATGGCGTGTGGTGTGGGTGAGTGCAATCTCCAGTGTTGTGAATAACGTAATCATTATCTAGGCACCATTGTACTAGCACACATCGCCACGGGTATCAGGGGGTATCGCGCGATCCCATGCCATTGCATGCGCATTAGCATCTGCACCAATGAGGTGGGGTCCGCTGGTCGTCAAAAGCGTGTCTAGTTGCGAAGTTGTGTATGTTCTCCCCGGAGGGAAGAATATGCTGACGTCACTGTGAGCGCCAGACCTTCTGACATGTGGATCGTTGCATGAGCATGCCCAACGCTTGCAACTACGGTGAGTCCTACTTCTACGGGCAGATCTTCACGCAGAAGAATCGAAACGCCGCCTCCTTTAGAGGGGTGGGGCACTCCATGATGTTGGTAACCAGCGATTACGAAACTCGACGCTTCCGCACAAGATATTAGGGATTACACTTGATACGTTGCTAAATTTTGAGGAAGATGTACGTCTTCGCACGGTTAAGATACAACAGCTTCTTCCGTATCTCAAACTCTTAAGCAAGCAGCGTCACCCGACGAAAGTACGTCCATACGCATGGGCGTTTGGCCAAATGTTGTTCTACGGTTGTGAGGTTCGCCAACTTTCACGCACCATGTCGTCGTTGACCCCCTTATCTCATTGTTGGACTAAAATTGTGAAAACGGTGGTGGGACTATCTGGCAACGCGGGCATGGCAGACACTCACCTGGATAACCGTTTTCCTTCTTTAGAGGCGTGTGTTCGAACTCGGATAGCTCAAATGGCGGCCGTCCGTTCCTCTTTTACGGATGCAGACCGGGATCCGCTATTTCATCCCCGTTCACCACTTATTCTCACCCCGGGTTTCCGACCGTTACAGTTTCGTTCAGCCCCGCTCTCTCTAGCGCTGGATCGGGTAGAATTTTATCTTCCTTTTCTGCGGCTTAAACCTACTACAGAAGAAGAGCGGTTACGTCATAATACGGCACGGCGTGCCCATTGTCACAAACTTTTATCTCATTATCCGGCGATACTGGAAGGTTACTCAGATGGTAGTGTGTGCGATGAGGGCACAGGGGGTGCCCTCATCCTATTTCACAATAACACGCAATCTATGCAAGCCCCTTCGCCTTTAGTGATTCGCCACACTTCAACGTCACGCATTACTTGCTCGTACACGGCGGAAATCAATGCTGGTCTCCAGCTATTGGAAGCGATTTACGAGCACCTTGCTACACAAGCTCATACAGAGCACACACATTCCGGCACTACGGTTTTAATTTGTACGGATAGTTTGTCATGGCTAGAGCATCTCGCCGCACGCACCATCCTCTACGATGTCTTCGCCATCCGGATGTGGGACCTTTTACACGACATTGCCCGTTTGACACCCAAGGTACTTTTAGTTCACATGTTTGCCCATTGTGCAGACCCCCGAGGTGACATAGTGGACTCGGAAGCACAGAAAGCGGCCAAGGAGAAACTTATGACACTACCTCCCTGGCATGTGGACCAACTTCGTCCCCAACTTCAGATGATCCGAGACCAGGATATTACTAACCTTACTACTCGTTGTACGTCATATCAGCAGACACTTCGGCCGGCTCCTTGTGATCCCCCGCCTGTTTTACCTGAGGAATGGCCCGCCACCTTCTGTCGTGATATTATTCGTCTTCGTAGTGGCCGGTGGTGGCGTCTTGGTCCAGTTGCTTACTTGTATCTAGGTAACGGCCAAGTATGGACGTGCCCTCACTGTGGCACCACGGCAACAGCAGAACACTGCGCTGCTTCTCTTCACATCTTTCAGTGTCCCAGCAAACCTCTACCTGCCGGAATAGAGGCTCGCGATCTATGGTCTACTAACTACGACAAACTGAAGTGTATCGTGTCGCATTGCTATAATTTTGTGAGGGACGACTGCGGCGCCGATTCACTTTCTGATACAGATGGCGACGACTTGTCGTCCTCTTGACGTGGTCTATAATATTGTTTTTGTGGTTTATGGTTTTTATCGTTTATGGGTATATTTGGTTTATGGTTTTTATTTTGGTTTTACACATTCCCCTCCCCAGGGTGACATGGGTCATCCTGGTTTAATGCCAGTGGGATTTCCCACAACAGCATTTTACAAACACCCACTCCCCCTTTTTTTTGTGGTGGGAGCCAGGCATGTCAGCTGTTGTTTGCCGTCGCAATTTGTGTTTTCTACGTGTGCTGGAGATGGTTGTGCTTTTGTTTGCGGTACCGCGTGTTGCGCCCTGGCTGTGGGCATCTGTCTTTCGTGGTGGTGTGCTCTTGGGTGGACAGTGAAAGGGGATATGTGATGTCGTGCCCTCCTAATGTACATCACGGAAGTGGTGACGCGTGTTCAGGTGGGGTCAGATGTTCGTGCTTCTGTAAATGCGCTGTTGCCAACCGGTGTCGTGAGGAGAAATGCCATGGTGGTGAGGATAACCAAAGAGACAATATACGTTTGTGTGTGAGTGTTTGTTGATTGGATGGTTTCTTTTTGTATTTGATCGGTTCGGTTTTCTTCTTGGTGTCCTCTCTCCCTCTGTTTGTGTGTGGTGTGTGGTCCATCGCGATGCCTCCAGCCGGGATGTGTGGAGAGCCGTCGTGGACCCTTCTGGCCGGCCCGTTGTTTTGTTTTCGCAGAAATGGGGTTTTGATCCGCCATGGTGGTGTGATTTTCTGGCGGGTACTCGGCGGTGCGTAGATCAGGTGACTGTGGGGTGGGGTTGTGGGGTCGGGGATGGTGCAGCGCCCCGCAGTACCTCAACGACCGCTACTGTGCCATTATCGTTGTTTCTGGGGATTTCTGGGGATTGTGATGTACGGGGGGTTTCCACCTCTGTGGTTGTGGAGTCCGCTGTTGCCTGTTGCGTTGCAGTGGGTGGGTGACTGTGCCCAGGAAGAGTGCATGCCGTAGTGTGAGTGGTGGGGTTGTGTAGCAGCGGTGTGATCATGCATATTGTGTTGCCAATGAGACCCAATGGGTTTGCCAAGCCTTGTTTCCCTCAACAATCCCTGTGTCTGTGGTGGTCCAACGTGACGTTGTGTTGCGCCCGGCGCTGTTGTTTCAATTTCTTGAATACATCTCTTGTCTTCTCTTTTCTTTCTCTCTTTCCTATTTTGTATTTTGAGGCAGCTATACAAAGAAACACATTTGTGAGTAAGGTTTCAAAGAAGATCCACATGCGCCGTCTGTTGTTCGCTGCGTTGCTCTTGCTGTGTTGTGCCTACGGGTGCATTGCAAAAACTGAGTACAGGACGCCATATCCGCCCGATCCGGACCTGGAGGTATTTCCAGAAACAGAGGAATCCCGTACTTGGGGCATGAAGGTTGTCAACGTTGTCCCAAGAGAAGAGGTCAAAGAGGGGCAATGGCAGAGCATCCGTATCGCTGTGAACCCGGGAATGATTCAGGATGAAATCATGTACTGTATGTCCAAGGGGCGTGAGATCGATGGATACACCCGCAGGATACGCAATGGATTCGACGAGCGGGTATGTAGTGCGGTAAGTGGGTACGCCGGCGTTCAAAGGATGAGAACTTTGATGTTGAGGGTGATGCCCAGGGCCATCGCATTGCATGTTGAACGTCTTAAGGTCAAGCGTGTGAAGGAAGCCCTGAGGATTAATGTGCCAACCAGTCTGCACCCCATATCTGATGCTGAGGGTACAATGTGCGTCGAAATGGTTCCCGTTTTTGACGGCGATCAGGGGATGG